GGACTAGACGATACCTAACAACAACAACATATTCTCCAACTCAGAACTTTCCTATTCTCTCCTATTCAAAGACACTGGCACAAATGGCAGCATGTCTTACCTCTAAATGTAACAGTGTACAACCAATCAATGTGATAGGCAGAATTAAGAAATTGACACGAAATAACAATGCTGTTGAATAAATACTGGACCACAAGGTCAGTTTGAGCCACAAAGTTGGCAGTTCAAACTCCTTGGAAAGCCTGTACAGGGTCGCTATGAGTCAGAACCAATTCGATAGCACTGAACAACAACAATTGTCAAAGGAATTGTGGCTATTAAGGTGATATAAAAAATATATACAAATATCCATATGCGTTGCTTTCTGAATTTCAATATATTTTCAAATTAAAAATCAGTTATCTGAGAGATACTCCGATTTTCAATTCTATTCTCATAAATAATGATATGAAGCCAACATTACTATTAACATTTCCTCCGAAGCACATTTAAATATGTTTAGATACATCCAGAATCTGACATACTGACTACATTTTTAATATTCTATTTGAATTATAGAAGAAGAAGAATGCAAAAAGATTTGCTCTTTGAGGCTAAAAACAAATAGAATAGAGGAAATAATAAAAGGGAAACCAGTTTTGACACTGAACTGAAACAGAAATAAAACATTTTTTTCTTGTTGTTGTTGTTGTTAAGTGCCTTCGAGTCAGTTCCAAGTCATAGAGACCCTGTATAGGGTTTCTGAGGAGCAGCTGGTAGGTTTAAACTGCTGACCTTGTGGTTCACAGTCCAGTGCTGATCCTACCGCGCCGCACTAGGAGTCCACATTTTGCTTTGTTGTTGTTGTTATGTGGCATCGAGTCAATTATGACCCATAGTGGCCCTGTATAGGATTTCGGAGGAGCAGCTTGTGAGCTTGAACTGCCAACCTTGTAGTTCAAACAGCTTTTGCAGTCTGGCGCATTAACCCACAGTGCCACACCAGGACTCCCCCACATTTTGCTTAGATACACTAAAATGTAAA